GGCTGAAGAAAATGAAATAATTGAGGTAAAAGGTTATCTGAGGAATGAAAAAATTGGTCGACAAATAATAATTAAAGTATTAGAATTTGACAAAATTCATTTGAGTGACGATGAAATTAATAAGAAAAATCCCAATCAAGTTCGACTACTAGGAAAAATGATTCCTATTTCTCGGGACTCAGAAAGCCAAAAAAAATCAAATGTTTTGTCTTTTAAATTAGTGGTTCCTCGTGAGGGAATTAAATTGCCTATTTTCTTTTGTCGGGTTCATGATGATGTGTTAGTATCTAAAATTAATCAGAATTTAAAAAAAGGTGATATTATTCTACTAGAAGGATTTTTACAAACCAAAAAAGTTGAGGAGATGATTAATGAAGAGAAAAAAATCTCCCGAATTTCTTCAATTATTTGTCAAGGATTTACCTTTTTAGATAATGACTCAGTCAATGATTTCAGTTCGCTTGATAATTTAACTAGAGTATTTGAAAATGCTAAAAAAATCGATTTTACTAAACCAAAACCAAAATTATATTAAAAAGAAGAATGAAAAAAATTAATTTAGGTAAGATAAAAAAAAGTAAAAAAAGAAAAATTAGTGTTCGAACAGATTATTTTTTGAATCAAGGAATTGACTATATTGATTATAAAGATACAACTAACTTGAGTAAGTTCATTAATCGTCAGGGAAGAATTAATCCTCATAAACAAAATAAATTAACAGCTAAATCTCAGCGTCAATTATCCGTGGCCATTAAAAGATCGCGACAGATGGGTCTTTTGCCTCATATAATAGTTGAACAGAGTGAAGAAAAACAATAAACGACTTATAGATTTATGTTAAGTACTCAAGAAAAGCGAAGAATAACTAACAGTTGTCGGACTTGTCGTACTTCAATTTATGAGGGAGAACCGGTCTATGTTAGAAGAAATTATAGCAGTTCTTATGCCTCTGAAAGTTGGGTTCAGTGTGCTTGATGTTATGATCAATGACAAGTTGAATTAACTGTTAATAGGAAATTTTGGATAAAATGATGGTTAGGTGGGACTTTATTAATTATTATTGCGACAATGGTTAGTATCGTTGCGTTTCCTGGATTAGAGAGAGTTGACGGGAATCAAGTTGTTTGATATCGACTAAAACTTTTTTCTCTAGGAAGTTGGCAAATTCCTTTGCTTGCTCTCATAACATTTATTGTTTCTCTTCTTTTAGTAAAAATTGTGAGTATTTGATTTCAACCAGCAATTGATCGATATAAATTACGAAAACAACCAATATGAAAAAATTAGAAAAAGTTATTTTCCTAAATAAGGATAGTTGAGGTGACAAATTTGAAGTTAAGGAATTTCGAAGAGGTTTTGTGATTAACTATCTACTACCTAGAAGAAAAATTTTGTTAGCAAACCAAAAAAATTTTTTATGACTGGAACAACAAAAGGTCAAAAAAGAACAAAATAATTTGATGATAGAAGAAGTTGCTAAAAAATTATACGATAGAGTTAATAATTTCCCGCTTTCTTTTTCCTTAAAAAAAGATGATAAAGGCGAACCTTTTGGTTCGATTGGTTTTAAGGAAATTTTATCCGAATTAGCAAAATTTGATTTTCACTTTGAAAAAAATCAATTGTTGGATTTTCATCCAATAAATAAATTTGGAGAAAGTGTGGTGAAAGTAAAACTAAGTAACAAGGTGTTTGCTGATCTGAAAATAGAAATTAAATAAAAAAATATAATATTAGAAAATAAAATAATAAAATGGAAAATAATAATAATAAAACTACTAGATTGAGTAATTTTGAAATTAGAAGACTAACTGATAGAAATCTTCAAGAATATTTTATGATTATCAACAATGATAATCGTGATGATGTTTATTTTTGCTTTCAAAGGACAGTCACAGAAGGTTGAGATATTTTAAACAGAATGCCCTCTCCTATCAATATTGAGATTACATATGAGGAAAACGAACAGAACGGTAAAATTTATAAAAGAGCAGTAGTTCTATTTACTGAAGATAACATATTCGTTTAATCTTAGGACTAACTCAGTTTTTGTAAATATAATGCCATCATTAAGAATCAGTAATATTTCGCAACAAGTTTATAATTGTTGTTCTCAAATACCGCAAGGTTATATTTCAACTTATAAGCATATTGCGAATTTTCTTTGCATTTCGCCAAGAGTAGTTGGGCAAGCTTTAAAAAATAATCCCCATGCTCCAAAAATTCCTTGTCATCGAGTTATTTCTTCTAACTTTTTTATTGGTGGTTTTCAGGGAGAATGAGGAATGGGAGAAAAGGTGGAACTAAAGAAAAAAAAATTGGAACAAGAAGGAATGCTTTTTGACCCAAAAGGTTATCTTTTAGAAAGTTTGCGTGACAAAGTTATTTTTAATAATTTTGAAATTAACAAATCTGACTAAAAGAACAAATTAAGAAGAAAAATAACATAAATATAACATAAATGAATTTAGAAAATACAACATTATCTGGTAAGACCAAAGAAAATTTGTGAAGAATTGGTTATCAGCAGTTAACTGACATTCAATCACAAACCATCCCTTTAGTTTTAGAGGGGAAAAATATTATCGCTCAATCACAAACAGGAACTGGAAAAACAGCTGCTTTCCTTATTCCAATTTTAGAAAATTTGAAATCAATACTTAAGCCACAAGTACTTGTTTTGGTTCCTACTCGAGAATTGGCTTTACAAGTCAGTGAAGAAGCCCAAAAATTTTCCTCGCAATCTAATTTGCGAGTCGTAGCAATTTATGGTGGTGAACCAATTTACAAACAGTTGCAGTCATTACGAAGAGGAGTGGACATAATTATAGGAACTCCTGGAAGGATTATTGATCACATTTTTATTAGAAAAACCTTTAATCCAAGTCATTTAAAATTTGTCGTACTGGATGAAGTTGATGAAATGATTGGTAAAGGATTTTTAAAAGACATTGAGAAAATAATGAAAAAGATGCCTGAGCAACGCCAGACCTTGTTTTTTTCTGCCACAATTTCCCCTGAGGTAGATGTTTTTGCTCGGAGATTTGTGAAAAATCCAACTTTCATTACCAGCCAAGCTAGCGAGTTGCCTAGTAAGATCGAACACTATTACTTAGAAACTTCTTCTTTGAGACAAAAAAATAATAGTTTAGTAACTTTTCTTTCCTCAGAAGAACTAGGATCAGTAATTATTTTTGCTAATACTAAAAGAAAAGTTGAAGAAATAAATAATAGTTTGCTAGATAATCGCTTACGAGTTGATTATATTCATAGCGATTTGTCTCAAAGCAGAAGAACAAAAGTTTTTCAGAAATTTCGGAATAAAAAAATCGCTTTGTTAATCGCCACTGATGTGGCAGCACGAGGCTTAGACATTAAAGATATTTCTTATGTCATTAATTATGATTTTCCTCAAAATCGTGAATTTTATATTCATCGTACTGGACGAACTGGACGAGCTGGAGCAAGCGGCAAGGCAATAACTTTTATTAATTCTCCGCAGGAAAAAAAACAATTATTGGCTATAGCTCGACAAAAAGGTTTCAAGGTAGAAAGTTTTGTTAATCATAACTAAAAAGGAGACTGATTAAACAAGCAATAAAAAAGTCTTTAATTATCTATTATCTTTTTTAATTTTCCCCCTATTATTGATTTACTGAAACTTTCTTTAATAATTGATAAAATTTTTGCTTTATCCTCTTGTGAGATGTTGGGATTATTTTTTATTTTGTTCATTTCCTCTTCTAAAAAATTATCACTTAATTTCTCCAATAGTCAAGGATTTTTGTTTTCTAATTCCTTGATAATAGAACCGCCTTTAAGGAGACCTTGGCAATGAATTTTTACAAACTCTGAGGCACCACAAAGAGTACTGATAGGATTAATGCCATAACATGGAATAGTCTTCCCTATATTGGACATATAAATTTCACAAACATAATAATTACCTCAATCAAATTTTCGACTTTTATCTATCTTTGGTTCATCAATAGTTATAT